AGTTTCCTTAGCATCATGTGGTGCGTCAGATTAGTATACTTAGAGCGAGGAGCGGGGGCCGCTCCGTGGGTTGCGATCCCGTTGCCGGTCCCGGTCCGGTACGGGCGCAACACTGAGGGTTGCGGTCCGTTGCCGGACACAAAAAAAGACAAAAAGGAAAAAAAAATGAAATTTGCATGATTTAATAATTACTGATACCGCAATTGTTTCTATGACTTGTATGCAAAGGCAGAATCCTAGGGAAATAAAGCAAAAGGGATCTAAAATTCATTGGCGTTGAGTCTTATTTTCCTTGAAAATTTTTATCACATAAATATCTCCATCTGGGTTCTTGATCTGAGTGGCCATAGGTCACCTTAAGCAGGTCTCTAAACCTGCTTTGTCTGTTTGGCAGTGAAGTTGTAAGGTTCAGATGATAGAATGCATCCTAAAAGTATCTTGGAAACCAAGCAGAATATTACAAATGTAATTTGTATTAATGATTGATCTTAATGTGTGGCTGTTTTACATGTGCCATCTAATCTCCCAGTAACATTCCAAGTTAGCTACTGTTATTATCCCATTTTATAGTTGAGGAAGGTGAGGCATGGAGAGATACTAACCTGACCAAAGTTACATGATTAATTCGTGTTGGTCTTTCTGATTCCTCTGGCAGAACTATTATCCAATATCCTGAAATGCCTGTTGAAATGTGCTTCCTAATTCAGTGTTCCTTTTTTCGTAAAGTTTGCCAATTGCCCGACTGAGTCTCATCTGCCATTTGGATACTTACAAAATATGTCGAAAATATTCTCTCAGATGAAGAATATAATTTTATTAAATTTTATACACTTATTTATTCAGCAGACACGAGCGCCTGCCAGGAATATACTTTGTCCTGAAATGTAGAGACACGTGTTTAAAAAAAGATCCATGTTCAAAGACGTCAGCAGATTATTCTGTGGTCCATGTCTCTTGGATCTCAGGGTTTAGACACTGATCTGTAATGGAAAGATTAATGACCTTTAGAATGATCTAGACTTGGCTGTAATAGTCTTTTCTAGAGATGGAGTTAGAGATAGTGAACACCTGTGCTTGCTAAGTTTGCTTCTGGGGCCTGGCTGAAAGGCATGCCTTGGCTTTTGATGGACCTTTCTCTTCTGAGCTCTGCCTACTTTTCAATACTTTTCCTGAAATAAATGCATTTCTCTCCCTTGTCTTGGCTTTTTAACCTCCACTGCCACCCTTTTATAATGTGAAAGATCAAAATCTTGTCCGATTTCAGTTTTTTGTTCTTGTTGTTCAGCCAAGTTAGTATATGCATCATTGCTTTGGTTTTTGAATGGTACTTTTAAACATACTTCTGCATAGTTCAAGATTTTAAAAGGATTTGTAAATGATAATCTGACTGCAGCTTTGAGCCTAAACCTTGTTATAGAACTTGATCAGTTTAGCACTTTTCCCCTTTTGTTTCCTTTCAGAAGGTTGTGTGTGTGTTTTCATTTTGTTGGCAGGCAAAATTACCTTTCTTACCTCGCTGTCTTCTCCACTCCTTTCCTCCTTTAATACAGAAATAATAAGTGCCACATTTTATAAAAACAATTCAGGAAGGAATGGGAAAAAAAATAGGGAGGAATTGACATTTTTACAATGCTCTGCCTGCTCATCTATAACTGGATATATCTCTCTATTTAACCAAGTCTTTAAAAATTATTATGAAAAATCTTAGATGCAAAAATAGTAGTATGGTGAACCCCCATTACCCATCATCCCTATCCAGCAGTTATTAATATATTGAATATATCGTCAATCTTGTTTCATCCATACCTCCTGCCCTCTACCTCTTTGTGGTATAATTTATATACTATAACATACACCCATTGTATGTGAACAATTCGATGTCTGCTTCTTTGTGTTTATTTCCTCAATATTTTTATTTGAGTTAGAGGTTTTCTTAAAGTGTTTTACTGAAGATTTTAAAAATATCAATAGTTGTTGGTGGCATCCTGAAATATTATTCAGAGTACCTGATGATTTTTTTTTTCTTGAGGTATCCTGTTCTATTTTGTGAACATTGACTAATTTGTTTTATTTACTGCTTTTATCTTCTGGGTGTTATTAAGCAAAACAAAAAGTTTCTCCACTTGTACCAGTGTATTTTTGTAATATTCTGTAAATGTTAATTTTCCTCTTAAATGTGACATGTTGGTATTTTAAAATGGATTTCCAGCATATGTTATTGTTTGTTCACAATATTTTATATTAAGCATAGCTCTTCCAGCTCTTTAAGGCTCTATGCGGCTTATTTGATCTCAATTCCTTCTAATTTCAAATGATATTTTTCTTTCTGTGTTAGTTTCCTCAGGCTGCCTGTAACAAATTACTGCAGACTTGGTGGCTTAAAAGAACAGAAATTTATTCTTTCAGAATTCTGGACGTCAAAAGTCCAAAATCAAGGGTTGGTTCTTTCTGAAGTCTCTATAGGAATGTCCATTCCATGCCTTTCTCCTAGCTTCTGCTGGCTGCTGGCAGTCCTTGGTGTTCCTTGGCTTGTAGCTGCATAACTCCCGTTTCTGCCTCCATCTTTCCATGGCCATTTCCTGTTTCCCATTGTGTCAAATCTTTCCTCTTGTAAGAATCCCTATTGTTGGATTTAAGGACCACCTTAAATTCAGGATGATCTCATCCAGAGGTCTTTAATTTAATTATATGTGCAAAGACCCTTATTTGGAATAAGGTCTCATTCACAAGTACCAGGGCTTAGGACTTGGACATATCTTTTTAGGGAATACTATTCAATCTCCTACACTTTCTAAGCAGCATACTTCTCTGGATTTCCATTTTAACATCTGCGGATTAAATCCTGGAGAACTTGAGAACTTTATGGTCTGAGTTTTTGTGATGTTTTCTGGGATGTGGGAGGCCACTAACATATTACCAGGATGACTGCCATGGCTTCCAGTTCTTCTCTTTGCTTCCATCCTGCTCTTGTCCAAGATGTGATCCATTATTCACAGTGCTACCAGAGAGATTTTTCCAAACTTGATCATAATTCTCTTACCTCTTTAGGGTTTACCATGAAGCTTCCAATAAAATACTCCTCTCTCAGTGCTCTGAGGCTTACCACATACTGTTCTCTCTGCTTAGGTTAGAACATTCCTTGACCCCTCTCTGGCTGTTACTCCTACTGTAGATCTTAGCACAGATGTAACTTTCTCTGTGAGCCCTTGTGAGATACTCCAGATCCTCAGTCTCCATAGCATCTTCACACTCTGTACCATAGAATTTGCCCCCTGGATTGTATTTACCTCTGTGCTTGTCTCTGAGCAACTCTGGATTGTACAATCCACAAGGAGTGGAGGCACCACGTCTGTCTCATTCACAATTGTAGCTTCTAGCACAGTGCTCAGTTGATGTTTATTAAATGAAAAATAAATATAAAAGGCAAGGTTTTGGCTTGAGGGTCCCGGTATTTTTAACTCCTCTTCTGTTGAAGAAAGTGTTGGGTAGAGCTGGTTCAGCCTATAGCTTCTACTTCCCTTCTTAGAATAGCTCAGAACTGGCACAGATAATTCAAGTTTTTGGAAACATTCTTGAGGGACGCACTAGTGACAGATCTTCTGGTCTTTTGCCATCAGATCTGTATCTTTGATGGATCTGAAACTGGTTTGGCTAGATTAGGGGCAACCTTGTGAGAAGTGTCCTATTTTGTGGGGCACAAAACAGTGTTCACCATAAAAAGTTATCTAGAAAATGACAAAATTAGTATTGATTGTAAGAATAACATTTAAATAAAATTTTTTATGCATTTTAGTAATTCCTGAAAATATTCTCATTTTTCCTGTGGAATTGATATACATTAAATCCTGAGAAGAAAAATGTATTTTTGTTTTTCTATATCAAATGCTTTGGAAAAGCTCGCTTTTATACTTCCCTTTAGTCATGAATTTATTTTTTAAATTTAAATACTCTATATTTCTCTACTTTATTTTCTAGATTTTTCCCATATGTTAAAATTGATTAGCTATTCTTCTCTTACAGTTATGCCCCATGGTGTCCATCCTGCCAGCAGACTGATTCTGAATGGGAAACTTTTGCAAAGAATGGTGAAATACTTCAGATCAGTGTGGGGAAGGTAGATGTCATTCAAGAACCAGGTACTGTAAATGTTGAACATTAAATACAAAAGTTTAACAGTTTTTTTTATTTTGAATTTTTTCAAGCATATGTAACGTTTGAAAGATTAGTATATTGATTATCCATGAACTGACTACACTGAATCAACATATTATATTTTGAAGCTGGCGAGTTAGCTCAGTTGGTTAGAGAACAGCCTTGTAACACCAAGGTCAAGGTGTTACTTCCCCATATGGACAGTGCTGCCAAAAACAAAACAAAATGTACATTTTGGCATATGTGGGTCTGTGTATGTGTATGTTTACATATACATGTGTGGATATATATTTATATTTTATTTTAATTTTTGCTGAGCCATTTGAAGGTAAGTTGCAGACATCACAATACTTTACCCTTCAATTCTTTAACTTGTAAAACCTTCCTAATTATTTCCCACATAGTCTTTTTATAGTTTTTGAGCCAGTATTCAATCAAGGTTCACAAATTGCATTTGGTTTTTGCATCTTTTTAGTCTCTGTCAATCTAGACTTATCCCCCCCCCCTTTTTTTTTTTTTCAAAACATTGATATTCTGAAGAGAACAGTCAAGTATTTTTCTAGGTGTTTCCTTATGGTGATATTTAACTTATTCTTTTATTTTCTGCATTTTCTGAAAACTGAAAGTTTGGCTTAGAGGCATGATTCAGGTTAGACATTTATGACAAGAGTACTTCATAGGTGATGCTGTGGCTTCGTATTGCATCTCATCAGAAATTGCATAATGTCACCATTGGTGATGTTAAGTTTGAGTACTTGATTAAGGCGGTGACATTAAATATGTCAATTATAAAGAAACAACCACTTTATGATTAGCAAGTAATCTGTGGGGTGATACTTTGGGGTTTTAAGATCCATGATGGTCTTGCCTGAATTAGATATTTTATTGGGCTTTCAGAATGGTGAATTTCTAATTCACTCATTGGATCTCTTCATATTAGCTGTGAGTGATGTAATTTTTCAAGAGAAAGAATTGCTTTTACCCCAATGGGTGAAGAGAGACAGAAGACACTATTTTAAATTCTGAAAAGATATATACAATAAATTTATATTTGTAGTTTAAAAATAAATTTGTTTATTATATATAAGTAGAGAAAAAATAGGGTTTTTATGATCTAAATCTCTAACATTTGGCTATTTTAATATTTTAACTGTCATCTTTTCCTATTGACATTCTGTCATCTTTTCCTGTTCACATTCAATTTTTGTTTACTGCATCCATTCACAATGGAAATAAGAAGTAGGCATGGAAGTGTAGCTATTCACCTTTGTGTTCAGAAAACACAGAGTAATGAAGTACCAATTACTTGGACAACAAAATGGATGGTGTATGTTAAAATTGATGTGTCGACAAACCCATGGAGAGAGATTTCTATTAAAAGCTATGTGTCCTCAAGACTCACCTTTGTAAGCATTTGAAACAAAGCCACCTCTGCCCATCCTCTGTTTAGAGATGGACAATTATAGTTATTAGTTTATGGTTTTGGCTATTATAATGAGTTATTCTCTTTGGAGATCAAATCATTGCAATTACATTTTTGCTGAAAACTTGTTTTTATCTTTTAGTAGTTTGATTCCAATGAAATCAGCTATTTAAGACTTGTTAATTAGTGGTTACCAGACACACTCTATGATAGGTTTTGTAAAAATGCACCTGACCTATTCACATTTTAGTCATTTGGTATACCTGCCATGAATTCACAGCATGATACAAATTAAAAAAATTAAACGGCCTTGTGATAGAGTCACAAATCTAATGTTTAATTGAATATAGTCTTTCCATCTAAAAATGTAGACTTACAGCTACTTTTTTCATTGTGAATGGATTAAGTTTTTTTTATAATGAAGTAAGAGAAATTGTTTATGAAGAAATATTTTTAAAACATTCAGTGTTGACTCATAGTTTTATATAAATATAAACTATATATATTTAAAATACTCATCAAAGAGGAAAGAAAAAGAACTCTTCTGTCTGGTATTCTAGAAACCAAGTCCAATAAAAGAAAAGTGATTGCTTTATGTATTAGAATAATTTTTTAAAGGCAGAGGGTCTAGAATTCTTTTAAGTGATTAAAAAAAACTTAAAAACCAGAACTCGTAAATAAAACTTAGGAGCCAAAATTCTGTATGCATGATTATTTGAATGGCTTAGAGAGTATTTCAGCTCAGATTATACTGTTTTAAGATTATAATTTTACTTTGAATTACAAACCTAATTCATCTTTTCATCTTTTAGTAGGGATTAGAAATAATGTATTTACTCAACAAGTATTTGAGTTCCTACCATATACCAGGTGTTGTTCTAGATATCAGTGATACAGAGGTGAATGAGGAAGACAGAGGCCTCGTTCTTCATTGAGCTTACATTCTAGTGAAGGAGATAAATAGTAATAAAAATAACTTGGAAAATAATGTCAAATGGTGGTAAGGGCTATGAAGAAGAATAAAATAGGGTCAAAATGTGGAAAGTGATAGCCACTTTTAAAAATAGGATGGCCAAGTAAAGACTGTTCAGCCAGAAGTCTTGATAAATTGAGCAAGTGAACGTCATCAAGCTTTGGGAGAGGAGCATTCCAGGCAGAGCAAACACCATGTGCAGGTGGAGTATACTTGGCTTATTTGAGGAACAATATGATAGCCAGTGGGGTACCTGAGATAAATGGGGATAGAGAGGTAGTGAGGGACCAGAACATGTAGGGTATTGTTGGCCATAGAAGGTGTTTAGTTTTATATAAAGTGTTATAGGAAGGAAGCTACTGGAAGGTTTGCTCAGGGGAATGACATGATATGATTCATGCTTTAAAATAATTCCTTTGTCTGCTATGTGAAAAAATTGCATGGGATCAGAAATAGAAGCAAAGGAGAACAATTAGGAGGTTAATATAGTAGTGCAGAGTTGTGAAAAGGTGCCAAGTCCAGTGGCAAGTGGTTGGATTTGAGATACTAGGATTTCCTGATGGATTGGTTGTAGGATGTGGTGGAAAGAGAGGAGATGGAAAGGACTGAGTAGAAGCAGGTTTGGGGCAAGGAGTTAAGTTTTGGGTGCTAAATAGACATCCAAATAGAGATGAGCTAGAGATACAAATTTGAGGATTATCAGTGTAAATGATATTTGAAGCCAGGGGAAGATTGAGATTACCTAGGGGGTGTGTGCTAGAGAAGTGATAACTGAGGTACTCCAACACAGAGAAGAAAAGAAGAAGTTTCAGCAGAGGAGGAGGAGCTGGTGAGGTAGTAGGGAGAGGGAGAAGCAGGAGGGTCTGGAAGCCAGGTGAAGAGAAGGTGTCTCACGTAGAACTGACTCACTGGCAAGCCTCTCGGGCAGCTTGTCCCCATTTGGAAGCAATTTGAGTATTGACTTTATTTTTACAAGATCTAATGACCTGAATGAGCAGTGGCAAACCATTGAAATGATATTATTTTTCTCCACAATTGAGCACTTTACTGGATATTTCTATGTACAGATACACAGATTTCCGTTAGTATATTTTTTCATAAGGGCTGCTGTGCCACTGGAGTACTAGTGAGGAATAATTTCTGCAAGTAAAATTTAAAAATAAGGGAAAGCAAGAATTTTTGAAGTGTTCATGCATACTCTTTAGTTATGCCTATAATTCTTCCATCGGTATATAGAATAAGAAATTTTTTTATGTATTTTAAACAGACTTTAGAATTATCAAGACTAGGGTTTATAAACATTGCATTTTAATGGCTGAGATATAGAAGTCAGGGAAAGGACAGCTCTTAGATTAGGTTATATTACATTGCCTTTAATGCACAGACCAAGTGATGTTTTGAGTTGACTTTGGGAAATTAAATTTAATGAGTGTATACTTGAACTTCTGTTCCATGCAGATGAGCTAAGTTATCAAGGACAGAAAAACAGGAGCTGCTTATAGAGCCCCTGTGGGTGATGGCTATTCTTGTAGATTAGAGGTAACCCAGGCTTCAAGAACAAGTATAGTGTTTAAAACTACCAATTTAATACAACAGCCAATTTAGCTTACTGTACTTCAGTTAGTATTATATTTTTAATTGTAAAAATCATTATTTATATTCTATTGATAACTTTATTTCAATCTCGAAGGTAAGGTTAATTCTACTTTTTTTTTTTTTTTTTTTTTGTCCCATTGTATTTTCCTTCTGCTTCTCTCTTTGGTGATAATAACTAACATTTAGTAAGCATTTACTTCAGCCTATAATTGTGTTACAGATCTATGTGCATTTTAACATAGTAACAACCAACCATATGAAGAATAAACTGTTCATTACTGTATTAAGCAGAAAACTGAGGTTCACAGAGTTTGAGTAACATGACCAAGGTAACACAGCTAATAAATAGTAGAATAAAAGCTATTAGTTATCTCTGTTTCCTCGATACTGAGCTAAAATTTCTGTTGTTTTACATATCAAAATATAATTCTCTGTAATAATTGTTGTTTCTTTTCCTATGATTTTAATTATTTTTCTTTTGCTGTATGTATTTAAGATAAGTTTTTTTGTTTGGCTGGCTGGTACAGGGATCTGAACCTGTGACCTTAGTGTTACCAGCACTGTGCTCTCCCTATTGAGCTAACCAGCCAGTCCACAAGGTAATATTTTGATAAGAAATTAAATTTTTTTTCTGCGTTCATTTTTAAGTGGAAGTTACCCTTAAAGTAAAAAAGTCATTCTAAATTTTCAGGAGACTTTGTGGTCAAACTTTGTCTTTGTTTATTTCAAGGCTTAGGAGTGTGCTTGTTTCTTCCACACTTTTCTGAAGTTTGTTGCAGTGAACCATGATGTAAACCTTGAGCTGCTGCCATGCTGTTATAATTCTTTGTCAGTATCCACACTTAGCTTGTTGTTTTTGAACCATGAAGCTACAACCTCAGTTGGTGCTTCTCTGTTCCAAGGTGGTTGTGATTTAACTTTTCAGGTAATGAAAATCTCCCTTGACTCTTCATAGTGTAGAATTAATGGTTAGAAGATATTTTTGGAGCACTGAGATGATCAGACCCAGAGCCTTCTGATGTCTTTCCACCTCTCAGAAGTGACATTTATTTGAGATGAACTTCCTATAGTGTGAGATCTGCAAGGGTTAATAGTGTGTTATAATCCAAGGATGACTTTGGCTGTTCTGTATTTTATGGTTGTTGAAGTTACTGAATTACATCCTCAGTGACAGTATATTCCAGACAGCAAACCAAACTCATATTTGATTTAGGTGCTGCAGACTTATTATTAATATTTCAAACGGGTTGTCATTAGAAGAAATACTACCAAAGGAACATAAATGAAAGCAGTCTTGAGGTAATACAACTTATTAACAATGGTCTTTATTTTAAATGAACTTTATATGATGGCCTTGTAAATTGCTACTTTAATTATAGAAAACAATACAGCAATTCATATCAAGAGCCATAAAATTCTTTTACCGTTTAATCTAGCAATTTTTGAAACAAGTGTCCTATTTATATCTCTAGCCCAAACCAGATAGATGCAGAAAAATCTAAGAGACCATCTGTCACTTTGTTACTTTTTTCTTATTTTCTTTGTATCCATTGATTTTCATGGGTACATTTATTTGTAAAGACGTAATTTGTGTTTTCTAAAATAATGTGCAATTTCCAAAGGACTTAAGACTAAGTTAGTTTATGTCCTTTACATTCTCTTATTTAATCAGAGGTTTAAATATAGAAAATAATAAATAGCATTTATTTAGTACTTATTATATGTCAAGTGCTTTATAAATATAAAATCATTTGATATTAAAATACTGTGAGAAATTATGATGCCTATTTATAAAAACACTGAAGTCTAGAGAGTTTAAATTAACTGTCCCAGATTAAACACTAATAAGAGGCAGAAGTGGGGTTTGACCCCAGGCATGCTGGCTCTTGAATCTGGAAATATTGTTTTATATGTAGTATAATTAAATGTGTTTTATGAATTTTTTTTTTTTTTTTACTTCTGCTACTTTTTACTTATTGCCAATAGCCAATGATGGCTAAGAACATATGAAGGATTTTAAAGAGCAAGTTAAAAAAGTTTCCTTTAAGTGATACCCAACATTTATTATACCAACCCTATCTGCTTATATTCTGATGAAAATAAAATCCAAATAGAAGACTTTAAGGAGTGATGAGATACTATTTATTTTGTTTGTTCTATTTGAAAAGGCCATATAAATCATACTTCCCTAACACCATGACTCTCCTTAAGTAAAGATTTTGGGTGGTCATAAGAATATGTAGCTAGGAAGGAAGTGAGATAAGATACTGTTTGTAATGATTATTTATTTTATTTTTTTTCGTTAAATTTTTATTTTGTCAATATACACTGTATATGATTATTATGGCCCATCACCGACACCTCCCTCCCTCCTCCCTCTCTCCCCTCCCCCCCAAGAATGTCCTTTCCGTTTGCTTGTTGTAACAACTTCATAGAAGTATAGTTGTTATATCTCCTTCCCCCCCCCCCCCCCCGTTTTTTTTTTGTGTGTGTATGTGGGTGAATTAATTTGTTTGTTTTTTTAGCTCCCACCAATGAGTGAGAACATGTGGAATATTTTTTAAACCAAAAATATGTTACAATTTTTAAGCACTTGGTAGTGCTTACTAGTATGTTTTCCCCTGACAATTTAGAGTTAAAGGTATATGACAGGTCGTCCTTATTTTTCACTAGAGTGGAATTCCAAGCAGTGTCAGAGGTGGAAATGCCCTTCGATAGAGGTGCTTGTTACAACCCTCATTTGACCTGTGGGTCACTTGTGGTTTTGTTACTGCCAATAAAACTTTTTAAAAAAAATATATGATGAAAAAAACCCCCAGCATACTATGATTCCTATTAAGTACCATAGGGATGTTTTAGAGTGCACTTGGTGTGATATAAAAATACAATAGAGAAGTCTTCTTTGAGAAGATTCGTCATTAATAAATAAATTATTTTGCTGAATATAGATTTAATTTATAAAATGGGTAAAAGCAAATTTCTTATGTTATTAAAAGTAAACCTTCAGTATTTTGAAGTGACCATAGAGATGTCAAATTTGAGCAACTTGATTTGAACATATACTTGATTTTATCCAGGTTTTTCTTCAGTGGGAAAGACAGAAGTGATGAGAAATATTAAAATGATGTCTCTGTAATTTTTTCCATACTGGCCAGGAGGATCCTTTAGCTTTCCTTCTCTTTACTCATTCTTGGTACTCACATATATGTTAATTATTTGTAAATGTTATTTATTTGTAAGCAGTTAAAGTGCAGGGGATTTGTTCTTTACTGCTAGTCTCATTCAGTTTTTTGTTGCATGCCTCTTTTCTTGTATCATCTATCTCTTTTTATAGTTATGATTGTGATTATTTGATTAAATTTTTCTCTCTGATAGTAGACTGTAGGCTCTAGGAGAATAAAGACTGTACATGTTTTTACTTGTCTGTGTGTCTTGAGCAGTTATCACAGTCCCTGAAAGGAAGAAGTTACTTAGTAAATATTTACTGAGTGACTGTTTTATTTATCTTTGTCTTTATAGGTATGTAGCATAGCATTTGATATGTACTTAGTGTTCAGTAAAGGTTTGCTAAGACAAATGGAAAAAAATATGGTTCACGTACATATATTCCCTTTTCAGTACTCACAAGGATTATAAATGTGCAGAGATTATATGTGACCATATTTCATATTCTTTATTCTTCTTTTTAAACTAACTGATGTAGTAATACCTGCAGTTTATGGACCATTACTGTGTGCCAAGTACCAACCTAAGCTTTTAATGTGCTTAATCTAATCTAACTTCAGAACAGTTCAGTTGGCTTTAATATACCCATTTTACAGATGAGGTGACTGAGATTCAAAAAGGTTAAATAATTTACCAAAAGTCACAAAGCTAGTAAATGGGGAAGTTAGTATTTAACCCAGATAGTGCATCTCTAAAACCTATCCTTTCCTTCTCCATATGATCCCAAGTGATGCATAAGTCAGAAAATCCCAGGGTAAACAGATTGTATATCAGTGATTGGAAAGTGTTAGGTAAATAAAAATGGGTAAAAAGTCAAAGAATAAACAGTAAATATGATTCAATAATAGCAATGATTTTCATAATATTATGAAAGCAAGCTCAAGGATGCTTTTTCTTGGAACTTAGGTTATGTGTTCGGGTTACTTTGAGTTTGACTTGTAACTTTTTTTTGTTTATGCTTCTTTTAGGTTTGAGTGGCCGCTTCTTTGTCACCACTCTCCCAGCATTTTTTCAGTAAGTTTAAATAATCTTCTGGTCGTACAAAGATTAGAAACCAGTAGATATGTACCAGGAGTTCTAGGTTTTCCATTACCACCATCCATTTACCTTAACATCTGAAGGGAGAAAGACTGGTCTGCTCTGAATGAGAGCTGTGAGAAGAGAAGGAGGCCTGGAGTGCTGGGGAGAAAAGGCTTGATTTCTGGCAGGAGATAGGTGGGGAGAAGGGTCAGAGATTTTTCTGATGACATAAAAGATGGATGATTCTTAACAGGTCAGTAGGAATGAGTTAAACTGACAAGATGGAAAAAATCTTTCCAGATAAAGGAGTTAGCATGTAAAAAGCCCAGGAGAAAATGAGATACCTTCTGAGAACTGTAACTAGTTCTCTATGGCTGGCCCATAAGGTGCAGTTGGATCATGCTGGGTGATGAGGCTAGAGGGCTCAGGTAGTAGCAGGGGGAAGAGAAAGGAAGGGATGGATTCTAGAGATAGTTAGTAGGTGGGATCACTGGGACTGGATGATTTATTAGCCATGTGAGGGGAAGAGTCTATGATGACTACCAACAAGCCATGTATGATTAGTAAGTATTCTTCCTGGCCTTCAGGACAAAGATCAATTAGAATAAGATGAGGTTTGGAAGACAGAGGCCAGAAAGGAGAAGATAGTGTGAAGTGCCTGTGCTAATTCCAAATGGAGAAGTTGAGGTGACAGATTGATATCAGAATCTAGAGCTCAGATGAAAGATGTAGACTGCAGACGCACATTGGAAATTTCTCAACATTGAGTTAGGTAACAGTTGAAATATATCAAAAAGAATACATACAATGAGAAGAGAAGCAGGTCAAGGATAGAACCTGGGGTTGACTAACATTACAGCATCTGCAAAGGAAGACAGTAAGGGAAGGAAACAGAAGGGATGGTCAGAATATTAGGAAGAAGTCTAGAGAGCTCATGTCATAAAAGCCAGGCAAAAGGAGAAAGGAAGGGGGTGTTCAGTAGTGGACAGTACCAATGACGGGTGAAGGAAAATTGGCAGAAAAGTCCTCTATGGATATGGCACTTAGGAGTCATTGGAGACCCCCAATAGGAGCACTTTTAATGGTGTCTTGGGGACTGAGTCCCCAATCACAATGCATAGTGAATGAGTAATAAAGAGGAGAAAATGGCTAGTGTGGACTCTTCCCCAGGGAAGTTTGATATGGTTGAGAAGGCTAGATGGAGGGAAGGCTGAAGCAGGATGTGAATCTAAGAGAATTTTTGTTGATTTTGAAGGGAGGACTTGAATGACACAAATTTGGAAATGTGGATACAATTTTTTTAAATTGATAACAATGGCTATTTTGCTAATGTAAAAGAAAAATCAAAATAATTGGTAGTAAAAATAATAATAAGTAAACTTGGCAGATTAATACTGCCAAGAACATTTCCTATAATCACAAATTGTGCAGTAATAGAATAGAATGTTTAATGCTTTCAGGTTTGGAATTTCTCATTTGTAATAGATTAAAATTTATGCATATTTTCTGATTAATGCCTAACTATAATTTTTTCTTCATTCGAGCCCATTTAAAATTCAAGTGGAATTCATACATATGACCAATAGTTACTTTGATTTTTGTTTGTAACACCTGTTATTTTAATGGATTTATTTTCTACTTGATTTTATAATTTATAGTGCAAAGGATGGGATATTCCGTCGTTACCGTGGCCCAGGAATCTTTGAAGACCTGCAGAATTATATCTTAGAGAAGAAATGGCAATCGGTTGAGCCTCTGACTGGTTGGAAATCCCCAGCTTCTCTAACGTAACTTGCTAATTTTTTAATGATAGGGTGTTAATAAAACAAGAGGTATTAAGTTAACAGCCTATGGGACTTTGAAACCTATGCTTTTCTTCATATTTATTTCTGATTACCCAGACCACACATGCCTATGTGTGGCCCACATGGTGTTTCTGGTTTTGTCACCTACATATATTTCAGCTAGTTTTTGGTATGCTGGGAATTAGGTAACCAGATATGGGTGGGCTACAGAGAGCCTCTCCTCCAGCTTTTGTACTAAGCCATACCAGCTGCTTTTTCTTTGCAAAATATGGTATTAAACACCATTTACCATTCTTTCTTCCTTTTAAATTATTGATAAGATGGAGTAACTCCTTCTTGATTTATAGTTTATGAAGGAGTTGCTATTGTGTCTTATGTGGAAAATAAAACCTATGGTGTCTTTGACCGCCTATCAGAATACTGCCCATGGTAAGTTTTGGCCATGATAGCAAACTGTGTAATACTTGGTGAGGTAGATAAGGCCAAACCATAATAACTTTTTTCATAGTTGGTTTTAACTTTGAATTAGTTGTCATATTTGTAATTAATCATATATTATTATGTACAAGTATAAGAACTATCCCTACAGAAATAGGAGCAAATTGTGCAATATTTCAAGAATAAATCATCTATATAGGACCCAAGAAGCACGTTGCTTACTCTAAAAGCAGTTCATCTCTGGCGTTTTATTCTACAAATATTTGAGTACTGATTTTATGCCAGATATTGTTCTGGGCCCTAAGTATTCAACAGTGAACAGGACAGACATTATCTCTACGGTCCCCTCAGGTAACTTAAAGACAGATTAAGGAAAAAGCTAGGGATACGAAGAATCAGTCTGGATAAAGGCTGTTAAAAAAACAACAACAACATACTTTACTAAGACAGGGAATAACTGTGGGATTGAGGACCTGCTTTAGCTGATGGTAGGGGTCGGGGTGCAGTTGGGAGAGGCTACTCTGATGGGAGGACTATGGGTGAGATCTGAAGGGTAGAGGAGCTAGCCCAGGTAAAGAGCAGGAGAGAGAATGTTTCCAGAGATGGGTATAACATATACATAAGGCCCAATTTGGAAAAGAGCCTGGTGTGCTTGAGGAGCAGAGTGGTGGCCAAGGTTGAGCACAGTTAAAGTGAGGGAGAGTAGCATAAACTGAGTAAGAGAGAGGCAGGCCGAAGCCAGGTCATGAAAGGCCTATCACCACAGAGAGGAACTTGGAGGTGATCAGTACATGCACCGAGAAATTGACTTTCAGGAGAAAGATTGGAGAGAGCAAGAATGGATGAGGCGAGACACTTTAGAAGGCTTCTGTAGTGTCCAGCCTCAGATAGTAGCTCATATCAGGGTGGCAACAGTGGGGATGGGCAGAATGGATTTAAAATATATTTTGAAAGGAGAGTTGGCTAAAGTGAAGGAGAGGAAGGATTCAGAAATAAAAACTTCTGGGTTTCTGATTTGAGTACTTGATTGATCTTGATGCCAGTTACTAATTTGAGCAAAAGAAAATCAGGTATTCTGTGTTGGACATGTTAAGTTTGAGATGCAGACTTCATAGAGCTGTCAAATTGGATGCATGGAGCTGGGTCTTCATGGAGAGTTCAGGAACACAGTTAGAAAATATATAGATGGCCTTTAAAGCCTTAGAAGGGAGGGGGACACCTAGAAAGGAAAAAGAGAAGAGTGCTTGGGACTGAGCTGAAGAAGGATCAACTCTGAGACATGGACATAGAATGAAGCAAGGTGAGGTCATCATGACCTTGACAAGTAGTGTTAGTGCAGTGGTGAGGATGGAAGTCAGATTTGAATGAGTTAAAGATACAGGGAAGAAGAAGAAACAGCAAGTGTAGACTGCTCTTTGGAGAAATTTGTTTGTGAAGCTGGAGGGCCATGTGTGGTCCAGGGATGCTCTTTTTAAAGTAGGGAAAAAGTAGAACATGTTTACATGCTCATGAGACTGATCCAACAGAGATGGAGAAATTGCTAATGTAGGAAGAGGGGATGACAGAAAGAACCAAGTCATTAACAAGACAAAAGGGGCAGGATCCAAGGCACAAGTGGAGGAATTGGACTGTGGTAGGGCAGATAGACTTTCTCTTTCATAACAAGAGAAGGTGGGTGCAGGTGTACACCAGGCTTAGTTTGGTGATGGAAGATAGGAGAGATCACATAGTGGCTTCTGATTTCACAGTGACATACGAGGAGTGTTTGTTAGCTTAGAGTGCATGGGGAGAGGAAGTTGTATAAAGTTTGAAGAGAGGGAAAAGAAAATGAGCTATTATTTCAGTGACAGCCTAAAAAAATGCAGTAGAACTGGGCTGTATTAAGTGTTCAGGATGTTGAAGCAGTGAGAACAGTCAGCTTGTCATGTGATCTTTTTCCTAGAGACATCCAGCTGCTCAGGTTTGGGGTTTTTGCCTGGTACGTACAATGAAGGGAGAAAGGGCCCAAGGAATTGGAATGTATTTGCAGCCGAGTGATTTAAATGATGGCCAGGGAATCTAAACTCTCTAAGAACAGAAATGAATCCAGGAGAGAGGACAATATATAGCAAGCAGTGGAGGGATCAGTGGAGTGGCAGCCCTGACCTGAATTTTATTTGTATTTTTGTTTGTTGGTTAGTTTTTTTCGTAGTATACATCAGTGGTTCTCCTCTTTATTACTTTTTAGGATGTCTGGAATGGCTGGTCTTTTTAGCATCTCTGGCAAGATATGGGTGAGTAATCTTAATTAAAATCTTTACAATTATGTTTGCAGAGAGATTTTTAAGACTAAAAATGTAGTTTTTAAACAATAGGAAAATAAACATTTATATGTACTTTTATAATCTCACTTTTCTTCTTGAGCCACACAGCTACTTTCATGTGGGGTTCCCAATGGTAATGTGTCTGGGTAGAAGGGCATACATTGAACAGGGACCTGTAACTACTGTGTCATTTTTCCTTAGATCAGTGAAGTCCTTTATCAAAGCAAAAGGGCTTACGTGGTTTTATTTTGTCTTATTTTCCCATTGGCAAATGTTTCTACAGACCAAAGACTGACTAAGCCTGCAAGTATTTTTATATGTCAGGGGTCAGCAAACTACAGCCTTTGGATGGACCACCTGTTTCTGTAAATGACATTTTATTGGAACACAGCCATGCTCATTCATTGTCTTTTGTCTGTGACTGCTTTCATGCTACAGTGGTAGAGTTGAGTAGTTGTGACAGGGACACATTTGTGGCCTACAAGCCTAAAATATTTATTATCTGGCCTTTAAGAAAAAGTTTGAAGACCTCTGCTATGTGCGATTGTATAATTTCTCTGAGTCATTTCAGTAAGTTACAAATGTTAGTCAGGTTAAAATGTTGAGCTATCATATAATCTTGATGGTCCCATAACCTTCTATTCCCCTTCTGTGTGGGGATGGGGCAGAGCAGGTGAGGGGGATGGGGGGAAGGGAAGGGCTATATCCAGCCAGATTTAGCAAAATTGCTTTGGAAGTAAATATAGCTTAAAATATTTTTAAAAATGTTAGAATGAGTCCCTATTAAGTTTTTTCTAAGCTCTGATTGTGGGTCATGGTGTCATATTTGGAACTTAATATTCAAGGAGCTCATGAAGACTCTTTTTCTGTTTCTTATGCATATTGATATATATCGAGGGAAATTGAAGAACAACTTTTTTTATGCCAGTTTTCCAGTTGTATATTTTGCCTTGTGACATTGAATACCTTCTTCATATTTTTTTGTTTTGTTTGTGTTTTTTACTGCAGAGGCTAATTGGAGACTTGGGTTCAGTCTCTTTTTTGGATAAAATTTAATTGGTTTTACTTGGCAATTAATTATAATTAACATTAAACAATAACTAGTATTTTTTCCTCTCTCCAGATAGTTTGACTTTCATGTGATTTTCTTCTACTGTTTTCTGAACGTTGGTGAGATGTTTAATCTAGAACTGAGAATTATGAATTTCAAATTGGGAATTGAGAATGAGGAATTCTCCCTTTTGCAGCATGTTGACATTAAAGATTGACAAAGTCAGGTAGTGTTCTAGCTGTCTGAGCCTTGTAACATTATGATGTCTAATTCAACAGGATAATTGTAATAGATATCAGTCGGCACAGACAGCAAGATTGTAGCACAGAGCCTATGGTAAGTGCAGGTCAAGAGATGAACTTGTTCTGCAGGTTAAGGGCATAGATGGAAGTTGATCGTGGCCTTCACAGATTGTTAAAGAGAAGTTTTATTTTCAAGGACAGTATCAAGGAAGATAAATTATTACTCTGACCTCATACAGCTTGTTATTTTAGTTTAGATAAACAAGAGTTTAAATAAGGAGTTACAGTTTTTCATTATATCATGCCAACCATTACAGCATGTGGCATTTGGAGTGCTTTAAGGCCAGGAGTGGGTGTTTCATCTTTGCATGCACAGTGTCCAGGCGTGGGAAGCACAGATGGATTCTGTCTGGATGCACTGAACTGTAGAGAAAGAGCCATTTGGAAATAGTATATGATCCATCAAGTAATTAAGTTGTAATTCTTCTTAATGGCTGAGGAGTAGAATATATGTGATATATGTATGTATATTTATAATTTCTTACCTGCTATTCCAAAAAGGAACCAAAAACAAAAAAAGAGAGAGAGATAGTTTTACAAGATCAACTACAGTTGACGTGCAAATAATTACATTTTACATTTAATAAGGTCAGTTTTTTTATATTTTATTTATTTATTTTTATTTTAACTCGTCAATATACATTATAGTTGATTTTTATGTCCCTTTACCTGTTCCTGTTTCCCCCCTCCCCCTCTCCCCTCCCGCCCACTACATCATATCTGTTCAATTGTCTTAACAAGTTCAAGAAATTGTTGTGACTTCTTTACCCCCAACACCATTTATTTGTTTGTGTGTTTATTTATTTATTTATTTTTAGCTACCACCAGTTTTTTTATATTTTATTTATTTATTTTTAGCTACCACACATGTGGTATTTCTCTTTCTGTGCCTGACTTGTTTCACTTAATATAATTTTCTCTAAGTCCATCCATGTTGTTATGAATGGTAGTATTTCATTCTTTTTTATAGCAGAATAGTATTCCATTGTGTAGACATACCACAGTTTTCTTGTCCACTCATCTGATGGACATTTGGGCTGGTTCCAACTCTTGGCTATTGTAAATAGTGCTGCAGTAAACGTGGGAGTACAGGTATCCCTTTGGCATGATGATTTCCATTCCTCTGGGTCTATTCCCAGGAGTGGAATAGCTGGATCATATGGTAGATCTATCTGTAATTGTTTGAGGAACCTCCATACCATTGTCCATAAAGGCTGCACCATTTTGCACTCCCACCAACAGTGTATGAGAGTTCCTTTTTCTCCACAACCTTGCCAGCATTCATCATTCTCAGTCTTTTGGATATTAGCCATCCTAAGTGGAGTGAGATGGTATCTCAAAGTGTTTTTGATTTGCAATTCCTGAATGCTGAGTGATGTTGAGCAATTTTTCATGTGTCTGTAGGCTGTTCATATATATTCGTTTAAGAAATGCCTATTCAGCTCCTTTGCCCATTTTTTAATTGGGTTATTTGTTTTTTTGTTGTAAAATCGTTTGAGTTCCTTGTATATTCTGAATATTAATCCTTTGTCAGATGTATATGTTGCAAATATTTTTTCCTACACTGTTGGTTTACTTTTCACTCTGTTGATTGTTTCTTTCACTGTGCAGAAGCTTTTTAGTTTGATATAATCCCATTTGTTTGTTTTTCCTTTAGTAGCCTGTGCTTTTGGGGTCATGTTCATGAAGTCTGTAATCACTCCTACTTCCTGGAGTGTCTCCCCTATGTTTTCTTTAAGGAGTTTTATTCTTTCAGGATGTAGATTTAATTCACTAGTCCATTTTGAGTTGATTTTGGTATATGGTGAGAGGTACAGGTCTAGTTTCATTCTTCTACATATGAATATCCAGTTTTCCCAGCACCATTTGCTGAAGAGGCAGTCTATTCCACAGTGTGTAGACTTGGTGGCTTTGTGAAAGATCAGATGGCTGTAGGTGTATGCGTTGATTTCTGAGTTCTCTATTGTATTCCATTAGTCTGGGTGTTTTTATGCCAGTACCATGCCAGGTACCATACTGTTTTGGTTATTATAGCTTTGTAGTATACTTTAAAGTTAGGTAGTGTTATGCCTTCAGCTTTATATTTTTGCTCATAATTACTTTCGCTATGTGTGGTCTTTTGTTATTCCATATACATATCTGGATAGCTTTTTCCATTTCTGAGGAAAATGTCATTGGAATTTTGATGGGGATTGCATTGAATCTGTAGATCACTTTGGGTAATATGGACATTTTCACAATGTTAATTCTTCCAATCCAAGAGCATGGGGTATCTTTCCATCTTCCTGTGTCCTCTTTAATTTCTCTCAACAGTGGTCTGTAGTTCTCTTCATAGAGATTTTTCACATCCTTGGTTAATTTTATTCCTAAGTATTTTATTTTTTTGGTGGATTTTTTAATGGGCTAGCTTTCTTGATTTCTCTTTTTGCAGGTTCACTGTCGGGTATAGAAATGCTACTGATTTCTGTGTGTTGATTTTGTATCCTCCGACTTTGCTGAAAATATTTATCAACTCTAAGAGTTTTTTTGTATAGGCTTTCGGCTGTTCAATATATAGGATCTTATCCATCCACAAACAGGGACAGGTTGACTTCATCTTTTCCACTCTGGAGGCCCTTTATTTTCTTCTCTTCTCTGATTGCTCTGGCTAATACTTCCAACACTATGTTGAATAGGAGTGGTGAGAGTGGGCATCCATCCTTGTCTAGTTCTTGTTCTTAAGGGAAAAACTTTGAGCTTTTCCCTGTTCAGGATGATATTGGCAGTGGGCTTATCATATATGGCTTTAATTGTGTTAAGATAATTTCCATCTATACCTAACTTGTCCAGAGTCTTTATTATGAACGAATGTTGAATTTTGTCAAATGCTTTTTCAGCATCTATAGTGATGATCATATTGTTTTGTCTTTGCTTTTATTGATGTGGTGTATCACATTTTATTGATTTGCCTATGTTGAACCAACCTTGCATCCGTGGGATGAATCCCACTTGACCATGGTGTATAATTTTGTGTATGTGTTGCTGTATTCTGTTAGCTAGTATTTTATTGAGGATTTATGTGTCTATATTCATCAAGGATATTGGCCTGTAGTTTTCTATTTTTGATGTATCTTTGTCTCGTTTTGGTGTCAGGGTGATATTTGCCTCATAGAATGAGTGTGGGAGAATGGCCTCTGTTTCAGTCTTTTGGAATAGTTTGTAGAGAATTGGCATCAATTCCTCTTTGAAGGTTTGGTAGAACTCTGCAGTGAACCCATCTCGTCCTGGGCTTTTCTTTGTTGGGAGCTTTCTGATAACAGCTTCAATCTCTTTTATTATTATTGTTCTGTTCAGATTTTCTGTATCTTCTTGGCTCAGTTTTGGTAGTTTATATGTGTCCAGAAATGTATCTTTTTCCTCCAGATTTTCAAATTTGTTGACATAGAGTTGTTTATAGTAGTCTCTAATGATTCCTTGTATTTCTGAGGTATCAGTTGTAATATCACCTTTTTCATTTCTGCTTTTTGTTATTTGGGTCTTCTCTCAGTTAGCCTTTCTAAAGGTTTGTCAATTTTATTTATCTTTTAAAAAAACCAACTTTTTATTTCATTGATCTTTCATATCGTTTTTTTGGTTTT